TTGCCTTTACAGTTGCATTGTCTTGACAGTTTGTTTCCCTCCCACCATTTGATTTATTTTGTATTTAACTGTAGTTTGGAATGGACTGAGGTTTGGAAAGTCCTGTTACCATGATTATTCAATTGTTATGCTGCTGTTTAAAATGAGCAATGATTGTTTGCTTTTGAGTTTTAGTCTTTATGCTTGAACATTAGAGATGATGTTGCTGTTGGTTTAATGTGTGGAGCCAAATGCAGGGTGTCTGTCAGGTTTCAATATGCTGTTGCTGGATTTGTGTATGCTTTATTTGATGTTAGCAGTTTGGGTAGGTTTGTTGGCATTCTAATTAGTATGTTGTCATTACTGTTTTGTTCTTTAAAATCAATTTACACATCCCATGTCATGTTTTTGTATATATGGAAATTGAAACAGATGTTTGAAGTAGTTTGTTTTAAAACTGTCTTGTTATTCTATTTTAAAGAAAAATGAACTTGTTAGTATAACTGTTATGGTTTTGTGAATACTGTAGTAGCAGCATGTTGGAACTTTTATTTGCAACATAAACTGATGATTGGGTTACAATGCCTTAGTTAGTATTTGGTGCATTTTTAAAAAAAGGAAAAGGGTTCATTACCCTGTTGTTGTTGGAGTTTGGTTGAGCTTGAGTTTGGTATTCCAACTAATGTAATCACAGCTAGATAATAGTATGCACTGATGTTGTTTGGTGTTGAGTTTTGTTTTTTCTCTGCTCAGTTTGTGTTGCTGTTTGCTTGAGGCCTGAGATTGAAATCTTTTATTGTTGACTGTCATACTGCATTTTGGTCTTGGATGTTTGGTTTAGTTGACAGAAGAATCATTAAGTCTTTATCATGTGGACTTTGATCTAACTGATACTGTTGCTGCTATCACTTGGTTTTATTTGCTTAAATTCTGTTTGGCCTAAGGAGAACCATTTGAGTTTGTGTTGTTTTCATGATGAATGTGGACTGTTTGAGTATTACCATACATATGCTGCAACTTGTGCTAGCTAGGAGTGAAAACTCTAGTTGGATTAGGTGTAGAATTATGTCAAGTGCAGTACCTGTTTAACTATCAATATGTGACTAAAATCATGTTTTGTTTGCAATTTGATGATGTATGCAATGCTGTTTTGAATTTTGTTCTGACCTTGGTTTAGATGTACAAGCTTGTTATTGGTTTTGCTACATTTGACTTGCAATTTGATGATCACTGTTTGCTTTGGTTGAGAAGTTGTTTGTCTTTTGTTCTTTGAATTAATTCAACTATTGACTTTTGATCATAATTGAACCCTATTGTGTTCATGTTGCTGCTAATTCATGCTGTTGGCATTTGTTTTTGCTTTCCCATTGAAAGTTTGCAATTCCATTAGTGTATCAATTTACAAGCATTGTGTGAAAGTTTGAATGTTATATTTATTCTCCTCACTTAAAAACAGTTGGAATAGACATTTAGTTTGGTCATTTTCATGGAGTTTTGTTTCAATTCCAACAGCTTTTGCACTTAAGTGCTTTTGTTTTATTTTTTTTTGCCCAGCTATGGTTATGGATTCGCTATGTATATTTCTTGTTTCCTTACTAATCACCAGAAATGCCATTGTCCCAGTGGTAAAACAGGCGTGTGTTGTGTCCCTAATGTGCATGGTTCGATTCCTATGTTGGACAGAACCATCTTTTTTTCTTTTCTTTTCTTTTTCTTCTTCATATTTCGCTCTCAGCTCTTTTATATTTCTTCTTCCCATCACTTATAACATGCGCGCGGAGTGGCTTAGTGGTGGCGTGTTTGGCTTGTGAATCTGAAGGGGGTGGGTTCAAACCCCACCCCTTGCATTTTGAATTGAATTATTTTATTTCTTTTATTTAATTACATTATTATTTTCAAAATCAATAAACTTTCACATACTAATTTATTTTTAATATTACTTCCATTTAATGAAAAAATAGTAATATCTCAAATCAATGATAATTTCTAAGACCTTTGATTTCCTTGAAGTTGATCCTTTATTAGGGTTCGCGCGCGTGTTATCTTGAAACTTTTCACAAAAAATAACTGTTTTTCTTAGTATTGAACTAAAATAAGAGGACTAAGTGTAGACTTTCTTCCTCTTCGAATGTTGAGATGCCCACTGTAGTGAGGGTGATCTCGACACTCGTTTTTCAATACGAAAACGATTCCGTCTGCTTTCTCTCGTAAAAAACCTCGGCTCCGTGTCGAATACATTTTCAAAACCTCGGTTTCGTATCGAGTCCATTTTCAAATCTCATTTTCCAAATTAAAATCTCTTCGTATTGAATTAAAAAGAGCGGATTGGGTGTAGACCTCTTCCTCTCTGAATATTGGGATGCCCACTGTAGTGAGGGTGGTCTTGATATTCGTCTTTCAATACGAAGACGCGACTTTATCCACCATCTCACTTTCACAACTTCCTTCTGCAATTTTCACACCTAAAACCTCGGTCCCGTACCGAGTGCATTTTCAAATCTTTTCATAATAAAAACTTGAATGGTCGTGGAGTGGTTAGGCGTAGGCCTTCTCCTATCCCGAGTGCTGACATTTACCGTAGGGTTCTCTGTCGCAAAGCACTTACCATTCAAAACCAAAAACATCTTTAATAAGAGAATGAAGTTCTCTTTGCATTGAATTAAAGAGAGAGGATTGGGTGTAGACCTCTTCTTCTCCGAGCGTAGGGATGCCCACTGTAGTGAGGGTGGTTTCGACGCTCGTCTTTCAATACGAAGACGCCTCGTTTGCCACACCCTTTTATGACAAAAACTCTGAGACAATGAATCGGGTACTACCTGTAGGGGTTACTATCCGAGGACCTGTTTCGCCCCTAAAAAACAATCCAATCAATCAAACGTGACTTCTTGCCCCGCGCGGCGAAAACTAATCAATCTTTCAAAAGGATATGATACGTCCGTTCTACCGCAAACAGGTAACGCCTAAGTCTCCAACGAGCGAGCAGCAATACACCTAACTGCTAGAATGCGCACGATAGCATCATCCATAAAAAAAGCATCAACACACCGTAGGCCGAACTACGGCTGCTCTGATTCTTTACTTTCTCAAGTAAAGATACGTAGGCACAAGGGCCACAATCCTTGCCGAGCACTTTCCCCCCATATCTGTAGTTCCCCGAACTACGTCGACTCTGACTTTCTCACATTTATTGAGAATACGTAGGCCTAGGACCGCGAAGTCCTACCGAGTCTGTTATTTCTCTTCTTTCCCCCGTTATCTCTCTATCCCTCCTTTCTTCGTTTCTAAACCCTTCTCCCTATCTTTTAGAACCCTTTTTAGCATAATATTTAAGCAAATAAATTCACATCGACAAACAAAAGGTTCTCATCGAGTACGATGGATGCGAGGGGTGCTAATACCTTCCCCTCGCATAACCGGCTTCCGAACCCGTTCATGGTTGCGAGACCATCTTATCCATTTATTTCTTAAGGTTTTCTCGATATTTCCCTTTCCCCTCATGGGATAAATAAAGTTCGGTGGCGACTCTTCTGTCCTTTCTTTTCGCCTCCCCGTCGTTGCGCGATGCATTTTTCGAGTAGCGACACATGCATACTTGTTTGTAACACACATTAGATACCCCCATTGTTCTTTCAATACTTTGTTATCATTAAAACCCAAATGATATATGTCACGAATAAATATTGTTCTAACAATTTGGTACAAGAGGACGCACAAAGTACCATAGTTGAGAGTGCCTGAAGCTATGACAACGAGTACATTAAATGGTTCTTCAGGGTGTCACATCCGTATATGGTGCATGCTGCTCTGAGAGATCCACTGAGGTCAGCTCATCAAGAGATACTAGAGGAAGAACATGCATTATTAGATCATGCCCCCAATGTCTTACCTACATTTCATTGCATTGTGGAGATTGTGCAGACAAACACTTATAGAGGTATATTCCCTAATGGGTAAGGGGTGAGACAAGTCCTAAATGCCATTATGACGGTGGCACCAGAGATGCTGATGTACCAGAGACAACATCAGAGGATATATGATAAAGGAGGGCGAAGATCCATATGAGTTGTAATCCGACATACACAATATTATATAATATTTGTACTTTGGATTCATTATCGATTGTATTTTATTTTGACTTATTACAATTATATTGTGTATTTAGACTTCATTGTGTATCAGCTGTAATTTATTTTGACCATATGGATTTATATATTTTATTTTTTACATATCGATTCTATGGTTTAATTTTAATCACATAGCAGAGTTTTAAAATTTATAAATAGTCATTTTCATCTGAATAACCATAAAACTTACTAAACTTGCACTGTTCTAATATGTTACAGAGATGCATCTCCGTAAATCCTATAAAAGACATACATAAACCCTAAAAAGGAGATACATTTTTGGAACAATTAACATGTAAAATGAGCTATTACAGGGTGTGTTTTGAAATATTATAAAAATGCATCTCCGAATCAGTTAACGTTTTGGCTTAAGACAAGGTACGTCATGCATCTCTGATATTTGACAGACATTTTAAATTTTTTACATATGTTTTTCCGACTATAAGATGAGATAAAAAACCCCCTTAAATTTAAGACGAAATAATAGTCTTAAATTCTTGGTGTTCCGATCCTTTATCTGGTTCCAATTTATCGTTTGAGTAGCCAACTTTTATAAAGGATTCGAGTACCCCTTATACTCGTTTGTTATTTTATTAAATCATTGGTTATTAAAAAAAAAACTGTTATATAAAATTTTTTTTTTAGTAATTTATATTACACAAAAACTCTAAGGTAACAATTACAAAATAGAGAAGATGTGGGCAAGAAACACAATATTCTAAAATAATTTTTCACTATAAATACATAAAACTAGGGTTGTAGTTAGTCTGATAACCAGAGCATTGGAAGGGTTTACGGCTGCACTCTCTCGACTCAAGTGAGTTTCTTTTCCTCTCTCTTCGTTCCGCATCTCGCCGCCGCTCACTAACCCTATCTCTTGAATCATTTTTTACAGTAATGGCTGAAACCGTCGTTGCTGTCCCCGTCGCCGTCGAAGTCGATCCCAATCAAATCGAAGTCAAGCTCTTCAACAGATGGAGCTTCGACGATGTTCAGGTCTTCTATTTATCTCCTTTCTCGATTTGTTCTTGTACAGCTTTTAATTACAGATTTCAATGTTTATTTTAAGCTCATTTGAAAAGGATTAATCACTGGATTAGAGTTAATTAAGTGTGTTTAATTTGTAATGTTGTTATTCGATGTTTCATTACTGAGAATCTGAGAAATTAATGGGATTTAGGTCATTAATGTTGTTATTTGCCTTTACCAGCTTAGCGATGTGTCTCTTTCTGATTACATTGGAGTTCAATCATCCAAACATGCTACATATGTGCCTCACACTGCTGGTAGGTACTCAGTGAAGCGTTTCAGGAAGGCCCAGTGCCCCATTGTTGAGAGAATCACCAACTCTCTCATGATGCACGGCCGAAACAATGGAAAGAAGATCAAGGCTGTTAAGATTATTAAGCATGCCATGGAGATCATTCACTTGCTGACTGATCAGAACCCTATTCAAGTTATTGTTGATGCTGTTGTCAACAGGTATTGTCAACTAGGATTTCTTTTTATCTGGAATATTTATGGTTTTGCATTCTGATATTGTCTGTTGGGTGTTTTTATTTGTTGATTGAGGGTATATTGGAATGCTTGGTATTTTGTTGATTTGTTGATTTGTTTCAATTGTAATTTTCTGGTGGGATCTGTTTATATCTGGAGGAAGGAATGATCATTGCCCATTTTACTTTTATTTTGATTCACTGATTGTTACATTTTTTTTGTATTAAGATCTATCTTATCATTCTTCCCAAACTTTATTTTCAGAAACTTTTTTTCCTAGGTAGTAATGATGCGTGGAAAATTTTGTGTTGGCTGTTTTTTTCCATCTGATGTTACTTTAAATTGTTTATTGCCGTTGTGTTTGGTAGAGCATGATATTTGAATCAAATTTGTGTGACAATTAAATTTTTAACTATTAAAACTATCAGCTGTTGATTGGTTGAAAGGGAGAATGAAATGATGATTTATTGTTTCCTATTGGTTTGATTGCCTGTATGATGGCTTTTGTATTAGCTCTATCTGATCATTCTCCTTATTTGTTTTAAATAAGAAATCAAGTATAACTGTGGTTTAAGATAATATTCTCATTTGTAGTAATAATGCATAGGAATTAGATTGTTCTCATATTGATGTTACTACTTTAAGTATGCTTTTTCTCATTGTGTTTGGTTATTACTTGATAGAAAAGGATAGTCCTATCGGATTATTAGGTGGGATGTTACAAGTTTTTAATTGGTAAAATTTGGAGCTATTCATTGGTTTAAAGGGAGAATGAAATGATAATTTATTGTTTCCTATTGGTTTGATTGCCTATATGATGGCATTTGTATTAGCTCTATCCGATCATTCTCCTTATTTGTTTTGTGTCAGTAATCTAGTGTAATAATGGACTGAATTAAGGAAATGATTCCTCGTTGTAGTAATAATGCAATGAATTATTTGATGGGATGTTACATCATTTTGTATTTGTTGAAGCTCAGCTGTTAATTTGTTAAACAGGAGAATGAAATGATGATTTATTGTTTCCTATTGGTTTGATTGCCTATATGATGGCGTTTGTATTAGCTCTATCTGATCATTCTCCTTATTATTGTCATGTGGTAATCAAACATATTGAATTTGTTCAAAGAATGTTTCTACATTGTAGTAATAATGCATGTAAGTTTTTATGGTCTGATTGCCTATATTTTTGGGCGTTTCTAGTAGCTCTATCTGATCAATCTCCTTACTATTGTCATGTGGTAATCAAATATGTTGAATTCATTTATAAAAATGTTTTTCCTTGCTAGTAATATGCATGCAAGCTTTAATGGTTATTAGTTTGTCTCTGATTTTTTATTGTTTTAAGGTTGTACTTGTTACTTGTGGGTATAATAAATCAAACTAAACTATCAACTAGTTTTTAGCTGTAATAATATTAGAGCTATTAATTGCTGGAACTGGGGAATGAAATGATGATTAGTTATTTCCCTATTGGTTTGATTGCCTGGATGATGGCACTTCGTATTAGCTCTATCTGATCATTCTCTTAATAAACACAACATTTCTAAGTGTAGGAATTTGACTTTTGTAGTTCTTCACACGATTTATTTAATTGTGGTATTTTGCACAAATCTGTTTCTGTGCAGTATTTGTTTTTGTTTTGATTTTTATTTTCCTCAGAAACTTTATTGAAAACAAGGTTGTTACATGTTTTAGAATATTCAACCTGATCTTTTCAATTATATTGTTGTACAGTGGTCCCAGAGAAGATGCAACTAGAATTGGGTCTGCTGGAGTTGTTAGGAGGCAGGCTGTGGATATCTCACCTCTTCGCCGCGTTAACCAGGCTATCTATCTTCTTACAACAGGTGCCCGTGAAGCTGCATTTAGGAACATTAAGACTATTGGTGAATGCTTAGCTGATGAACTTATTAATGCTGCCAAAGGTTCATCCAACAGGTATACCATTAATCAATTATTTGAGTTTCCATTATATTGAATTTGTTCTCTAAGACCTTTTCTTGTCTAATTCATTGCTGACAAAATGTTTCAAATTTTCAGCTATGCTATCAAGAAAAAGGATGAGATTGAAAGGGTTGCCAAGGCTAATCGTTAAGCATAATTTGAAAGTAGTCTTAGTGATGAGGGTTATTTTATATTGGTCTTTTTATTACATTTGTTTGAAATTGTTGTTTTAGAACATGGTGTAAAACCTTTTGCTGGTTTATTTTTCACATTTTTGTTGAGTCAAAACTTGTTCTGAACATTTTTGCTGTTAGTCTATAACTGTTTTCAAGGATCTTTATGATTTTTTCTTATTCCATTTATTGTTTTTCCAATTTTCAATCTTCCTCGTGACACCTGTTATCTGTTCTGAAATTCTTGAAAATAAATGCTTAAAAGAGGGTGGGCTATGTGATAGTTATATAGCGAGGTTGGTATACAGAGGGAAGTATCATTCTTTGAATATGTCTCGACTTTCAATATGACTACCAAACCTGTTTTACGTTATTTATCAAACTATTAAACAATTTTATCAACCAGTGGTTAAATGCTTCTTTCTTGCCCTCTGATTTGAGGACTATAATCTCAACTTTTAGAAAAAAGAAGTGTTGGGTAATTAGGGAAGGGAGCCTGATTTTAATCCAAAGAAAAATTGAGATAAAATAGAGATGAGTAAATTGTAGAGGGGACAATGGATAATATTACTAAGTATGTTAGATATCATGAAGGATTTGTTAAAATCAATATAGCTAGGGGTATACTTGGCTGGTTTGGGTTGGGTTTGGTCATTCCCAATATTCAATCTATATAGGGCACTTTGATTTGGGTGGGTGAGATAAAATAACCAAAATAACCATCCATACCAATAAGTTACCCGCTAATTTTTGAATTCAATTTTTGTTGGATAGCTGCCCAAATAATTTTTTTTAATTAATATTAAACGATTAAATGATGGTTCATAATATTTTTTCATAAAAGTTACTAACAATTTTAATTTTTTTAAAATATTAAATAACCAATTTTTAAATATCTTTTAGAATCATAAAATATTATGAACCCATGTACTGATGTACCCCACTAAATTTAGCATTGTAATTTTGATACTGATACAAATAGTTGTATTTGCAATTATAGTGTTTCAATGTGATTTTGGTGAACTCACGGTAAATCCAAGTTAATTGGCATTTGTTGGCCGATGAAAAATCGTCAAATACAAAAATGTTGCATGTAAAATTACTAAAGGGGTTCATTCCATTGGTGGCAAACTAAAGCCTAAGGTTTCTTGGTACATTGTCAAAATTCGAAAACAACGAATCAATTTTCTTCCTTTGCAAAGAATCAGCTACATGACATATGTTTCCATCACATTTTCTTTCATTTGCATGCTATCTAAATATTTTTTGCGTCTTCGCATTTGCAAAAGGTTTATTGAATCATGAAATTATTGAGAAGTACCATAACACTATAGCAGGAGACCTCTTCCTACTAACATTGTCATTGTCATCACTATTGTTGTCTTTCAGCTTGTAACGCGACACCCCATATTCTGAACATTGATATAAATTTTCATACTTTTTTCTGTATAATATGGAGTCATTATGGCATGCATGTATTGTGATATACTACAAACCCATTGGACACAATATCTTCTTGGCATCATATCAACGATCAGGCAAACTGTTATCTTTAGGTAGCATTTGTTTTAACAAATAAAGCAATTTCATAAATTTTTTATTCAACCACCCATTTTTCGCTTTCAGATTAAACAATTTTAAAATCACAGACAATCGTGTAAAACTTGTGCACCCCTTATATAAAAGGGTGTCTTTATCACTTTATAAAATATCATAAATATGTGCTTTATTAAAAGAAGATTCTCCAATATCATTGAACATATCTTCTTGACGATCATCCATATATTCATCTTCCTCAACTTCGTGACCTTGTGATACACTGTTTCGCTTTTTTTCCACCTCACTATGCCACATCCATATTGTATAATTTTGACATATACCATCACAACATATGTGATGGAATATCATTCTTTGTACCTTTTTTTATATTTCCGCAATTAACACAAGGACAATGAAATATATCATTATTGTCAGAAAGATTTTCATCAGCGTATTTAAAGAATTTAAGAACCCCATTCTCATATATCAGACCTAATTTATTAGATTTCTTCCAACTACGATCCATAATAAATTCTAAAATTTATATCAAAACAATATTGTGAATGACACAACAAAATCTAAACCTAAAACATATCAAAAAATTGAAGCATATTCATAACAATAATACAACTCTAAATCTTGAGCATACTATTGTAGCAAAGTTATAATATTTTTGTTCACTACTAAATTCAACAACAAAAAATAAAACATATGAACTTTGCACGAAACAGACCACAAAATCAAATAAGAATGAAGATAGGGAAGATTATCAAGAATTAGAAACATGAGAAAGAGAGTGAGGTTTGCACGAAACATATCGTACTTAGAAGAGGAAAAGACAAAAAATGAAGATAGTGAAGACTATCAAGAATGAAGATTCAAATGAACGAAGATTGTGAAAATGAAGGTTTCGCTATCACTATCGTTGTCGCTCTGGTTTGCTAGTTCGTTTAGGGTTATGAAGAAATAATGAATCTGTTTTGTTTTAAATTTATCAGAAAAACTTTTGACCATGGTTGTTACATTCAACCGCAGTGAAATGTAGATCTTATTACAACGGTTGTATAGTAAAACCGTGGTTAAATAGTTTTCATTTATTTATGAATTTAAGTGACACACACTTTTTGTAATAGGAAAAATGGAAAAAATGTAGTTGCTAGAATTCGAAGCTTGTAACAATTACTCTATCACCACATTTGTTTATCCCAACTGTGATTAAATAACTTTTCAAAAAATAAAATATATATCAGGTGCATCTAGTTTGTGACATTACAACGGTGAAAAGCCTAACCATAGTAGTATTAATGTTACTTAAAGTGTATTTTATAGTAGTGCATTTACCATTTATTACCTCTTAGTGAGCGACTATTTCAAGGGTTCTTAGATCATAATAATGAATAATACTAGTTGTCTCCACAAAATGAGTTATACATGGATTAGAGTTAATAATTAATCAGAACTACAAAATGTCGGATGGTAGCTCGACACATAAAATGTTAGTTTATTCATGGTCACGACAATATATAATATGAATATATTCTCACTATAGATGATAAATGGTCTTCTTCTTGGGTGGTGTTCTGGACTGGGCCCAGCCTGCCCATCCATCGTGCAGGCCCAGCCCATCCGTCAGGCAGGCCCAGCCCAACGTTATTTGGAGAAGGCCCAACAAGGCTCAAATCACTCAGTGTCAGGCACAGTTCTAGACGCATCTGAAAGAGCTAGTCAGCACACCTTCCGGAGATCACGAGATAGTTGAAATAGGGCGAAGACCACGTACTGGTCTTCACTACGCCACATAAGCTCTAACAGTCACTTGGGTTGGGCCTGACAATCCAGCCCAACACAAGTGATCGCTGGCTCTCTGCTGGGGTCTCTTTATAAATACTCTCTTTTACTAGAGGGTCAGGTATTCAATTCTCCACGCCTAACTTCTGTACTAGCTCTTGCTCTGGTCCCTTACTTACTTTGGCATTAGAGTGTCTTGCAGGTACACCCATTTCCTTTTCTCTACCTCTGGTGAACAACGTTCAAATCGACGACACGTGGCGGTCAACAATCTCTTCTGATTAGGTGGGAATATGGAAATAGAAAAACAGTCTAGGGGAGGGGGGGGGGGGGGGGAGGGGGTTGAATATGCCCTTATTGAAAATTTCATCCTCTGTTTCAAAAGTTGAATACCAGAGATTTTTCAAAAGTGCGCACAGAAGGTTTGAAACGAAAAATATAAAAATTATAATTTTCGAAACTCGATTATGTTAACACTAAATCAATTCACAACACCACATACGGTTTAATGATGATACATAAAGGTATTCACTTGATTCAATTTTATATTTCATAAGATGTGATTATATAATTATTCAATGACGATGAATTTTAACTTTAATTATTTATAAGATTTTTAATCACCAATGTAGCTAGATTAGGCACCAATTCTAACAAAACCTAAGCTTACACAATAAGTCGCTACCAATTGAATAAAAGGTAAACTACGCTAAAATTAAAATATCTAAGCATGCAAATCCTATGAAAATTAAATGCAAGAGTAAGGGAAAGAGTTCCCTACACACACTTTAATGGTTTTCTATTGGAACCTGCATTGTTCATTTATATTTGACAAATATTTGCAAGTGTTCAAACAATCATCAATCTAGAATAATGCTGAGAATTATAAAATCTCCTATCAGGATCTAGACTTATAGACAATGTAATGCAAAACTCTTCTATATAATCTTTACTCGATTGACGCTTCTTGAATCTTTCAATATCAACAATTTTCTCCAAGCCTTCGTGCGTATCAATAAACCCCTTGATCCTACTGATTCCTTGAGCGATGAATTATTTGAATATATGAAAAGAACTCCGCCTTATGTGTAACCTTCCACACAATCACTACAAAGGCAATTTGGAGAGAAAAACCTCATTCTTTTCAATGGAATTTGTCAGCACCAATGACAACAACCTCAATTTTGAAAACTACCTGAAAATATCAACCAAATCTTCAAGAATATTTATTTTCAATAGCACACCTCCTTCAATCAATTACAAATCTCTCATTATCAAGATTTGAAATTAAATTGAAGTTAAAGATGTAAGAATTTTGTTGTAAGAACTTTGAACTTTCAAAAACAGAGGGTATTGATTTTTTCTTCTTCAGAATCACACATAAATGAATATGAATTTGTTGATTTGTTACATGAAAAATGATGACAATAGGTTTTTATATGTTCTTGAGATTAAGCACAAAATATGATTAAAAGTTAGTTAGATTCAAATAAAGGACATTTCATTATTTGAATTAATTGAACAAGTGAAGTGGAATAAAATAAAAACAAAGTTTTGACCCATTTTTCAGTTTATTTAAATCAAGAGCAAAGTATGATTCAAATCAAAGACCCTGTGATTTGAGTCATGTGATAATTTTGATTCGAATCAA